CGACAGAAACGTGTTCATTTATTCCAAGCGATCATTATCCCTCTAACAATTTGGCTTCTTTTGCTCATTGCTGAATGAGTTTTCTGATTGAGTGCCTTTTACTTGATTTTTATTCTCGTAATAATTCTAAGTACATATTTCCTGTCGAGTGAAATTTATTCTCACAAGTACGATTCATATCCTGTGATGTTTTCTTCATTTTTGAAGAGACGTATTCATTCATGCAGACATAATCATTTCTAAGTAATTATAAAAATTTTCCTATCACATACGTTATTGACAACCGCATTGTTACACAAAGTTTGATCTGCTTGTAGTTCAACTAATCCACTGAATAAATATTAATTAAATTCCCTTAATGAAGCACTGAGGAAATAACATTTTACTGAAAAATTACATTGTATCTCTCATTTGGTCGCATTTAATGAAAATGAATTCTAATTAACGAACAATTATTCGCAGTAAATCAACGCATCGGATATACGATACATAGAAATGGACTTTGATGAGAAGAAGTTCTATTTAGTGATATTAATATTTAGTGATATTAATAAGAAAAGTGATATTAATAAGAAGAGTTGCAGTTCAGTTGACGAGATATCTCATCAGCAAACTCGTCGAGAAACGATCAGTACCCATTGAATGTCAGCGATTGTCGTGCGGCGCTCTTCGCGAGTCCAGTCATCATCCTTGTCAAGGAGTCTCTTCATCAAGCACGAAGCTGTATTCATCACCACCATCCTAATCAGCAGCTTCTCGGTGGTCATAAGCTCTTTCGATCAGCTGATGAAGACTTCTTCTCAAGACGCTAATTGCCGTTATTTCGTTGTTCCCGACTACAACTTTCTTGCGCTTCCATAGGTTTGTTCACACGTTTCATTATAATAACAGTGCTAATCAAAGACAACATCTGCGGTTGTTCTTTAAGCGAATCAAATCATATATCTACCCACCCAACTATAGTCTAGCTTGGCAATTATTTCTCGTCTGACTCATTCAAGCGAGCTCATATTACATCTTTACGTCAGTTCGTGTCTGAATTACATCTTTACGTCATTTACGATTCTCAGATAAACGTTGAGCACACATTTACGGATTGGATTCGCTTCATAGCCAGTTATCTCTTTTAGCAGTTCGTATGGACGGACGTTCGCTATATTTCAGTTCCATCTCGTCCATTCCTGGAATCAAAAATGCAATTTTTGCTATTGATTGGATTATTTCTCGAGGAATTTTTCATTCGAAAATATCAAAAAACATATACCATTTAGATACTTCATTATCGTCATCGCTGACTGTATCAGGTCAATCTGCCTAAAGACATTTAGCCTAACNGGCAAACTGTCCACTAGGCAACGTGTCTTTAGGCAAACTGTCGTTAGACAAAATATTTTTAGACAAATTAACCGGTCATGATCGCTGAGAGGTTATCACCTCTAAAGCATGAAGCAGTAACTTGATCATCAAAGAAACAAATTTTTCGTTTCGTGTTCTCTTCATTTGTCTTGTTCTTTCAATCTCATCCAATAAGAAGCATACAGTACAAGCCGTAAAGACGACTAACAAATATGTATGCAAATTTAAAAATCTATAATATCTTGTTGATATTCACGGTGAAACATTCCAAAGCTTGTATTTACGATGAAACATATTAACGATGAAACATTGAAGTTATTTATTATCTACAAGTGCAGTTTGTTTATTGATAGAGTGTTTTTGCATCTTTTGAAACGTCTTTCTCGGAACACTACGAACAACGTAACAATTCGTCAAACAACAACAATTTATAAAAGTTAATCAACCCAACAACACTTGTCAAATGTTATTCCCGCACATACTTCCTTCTCATCGACCCGTTTGTCCGTCTCCGTTGCTTGCATGGATCATTTATTGTTTGATACGATTACGGTTTTATTTCACTTACATTTCACTACATTTTCTTACAATGAAAACAGCATCATTCCAAATATTCACTAAATTTCATCTCATTCAACACACATCCAGCTGTCAAAATTGTTCCGGTTTTCTTCTAATCGCATTTGATACATTTCTCTGAAGAATTTTGCTTGTAGTTCAGTGAGCAGCCTCGAATTTGGATAAATTTACTATGTGATAATATTGGTGATCTCAGTAACGATAATTTTGATTGATCATTTTCTCATTCTGAATGATCATCTTGTCATCAAAAATTTAATCTCCTAAATTCAGCATCTTATAACTATCAAATTTCACTTCAGACTGTCTGTCAGCCTTCGAGACATCAGCGATAGCGGAGAAGGTGTATAAGTGCAGCAGAATCAGAAGTTATCCAGATCAGAGTTCGAGGCTCTGCTCAGGCTATCTGGATATTTGCCGAAATATACGGTAGAACGTGTTCGGACCGCTGGAAAATTGGCGAAAAGTTGCGGAAAATCTGAAACCTTAGAGAGAATTCACAACTGCAGAAAGCAGTTTATCTATTTGAGTTTTATTGTTGTCGTTAGTTTATTTTGCTGAGTCTGAAAGCCTGAAAAGGTAGTATTTGTTGACAGACTTAGAACCGAGTCAGAACCGTTCAGTTTGAAAAACGGTGACAGTAATCGACATGCAAAATGCTTCCTCCACGAAGCATGCGTTCACGTTCCAAAAGTTCCGAGGACACGTTGACCTCTTCAGCAGCACACTCAACTGTCACAGGTGAACTGTTTAATCTGATTTCATTGCTATTCTTCTTCCTTATCAGTTTCATCTCCATTAAATTTCATTTCCATCAGAAAATTATCCGAACAAAGCAACGTTTCAATCGCTACATTATGCTACTTTCGACAAATACACCCATCCATCCAATCGAGTGGAAACGCAACAGAAATGGGTCATCAAAACTGCTTAAGGCTATTACCGGCTTACTAAAATGTTGCTGAGTTGCCACGATTGATCCCAGAGATCAGTTACAAAACCGATAACGACGATGACACATCCCGCTCAGTATATATCTTCTGCACCGTCATAATCTTCATTATAAGAAGATAACACATAACTACTTTTCACGTCCTCTTCTCTCTTCTTCTTCTAATAATAATTACAATAATGAGAATAGCGAAGAAAAGAATAATAATGATAATATTAACAATATTAATAATAATGACAATAATAATAATAAAATGCTAGTGGTGACCTCATCAACGATTTATGTTCCTTTAACATAGTTTCCTTCAATTCAAAACGAATCGAATGACGAATAAATATCTCTTGAAACAAAGCATCTTCAAAACTATTGATTGCCGTTTTTTCACTTTGCAATGCATGATGTGATGATGCCCACACGAAAGTTAATATTCACATCGATCGCAGTTCATCAATTGATCTCTTTTTTTATTCTGTTGATTAATTCTCACTTTTATACAGCTCATAACTAGCGATATGATGCTCATTCTTATCATTGAACTATTGCTATTACTTCCTTCATCCCGTTTAATCACCACACATTTCGTTCTTTTCCGATGCTGTTATTGGAACAATGCAACGTTTTAAACCATGCAACTAGCCTAGTCGATCACTATCATTGTTTAAACTATCACCCAAACATCATTTTCGATGATGTCTTCAACGAAACATCATCATCATCCTATCAAAATATCTCGTCAAAATCGCTATCGCAATCACCAAGCCCAAACTATAGAAATGAATACGAATCCGTCTCTAAATCGATTTATTCAAACTATGTCCTATTTTCGTTATCATATTTCATTGACATGCACATAAATTATAAAAAGCATGCGCAATGCCCATAAAATGAAGCGTTTACATGAAATGAATACAATTTATAACATAGAGTAACGCACCAAATAATACGCTAACTTGATTTCGTACCCGTTCAAACACCTCAAAAATCCATGCGTTTTTCTAAAATTATGAGAAAAATGTGCAGCTTTGATTGCTCGAGGGCATGCAACCACCATCCCATTTTGCTCATTCACTTGAAAACGTTCCATTTTATTACTGCTGCTCTTATCGCTTCCATGCAAACAAATATATTATAACGCTCCATTGAATATCATATGCGCCGCATATGCTTGACGGGATATTTGCTTTCATTGTTTTTTGTCTCAAACTCTTTAAGAAAGCGTTATTTGCGCCGATATTGAATGTGCGTATTAACTAAAGGAGATTCTTAGCTTAACAACCATAATGTATTTTCTCAATTAGATATCCATCGTTTTCGACAGATGCATCCAAACCTCAATCAAAATTTTCCGCAAAGGTTGCTTTTCAGCAAAGCTACTGATGCACTCGATGTTCCCCTCATCAAGCTATAATTTTTCATGCTAGCAGATTACCAACTATCATAAATACGTCTAATGATAAGTTCAAAGATCTCTTGAAATCCATACGAATCCTCATATCGTAGGAGGACTCAGCTACACGAAGTTTAATCTGAAGCATGATGCCAGTTCACATTCGGCTAACTTCTCGTCTCATGATTGAAAATGTGCCTTCAATTCCATGCACTGAAAGTCATTTCTTAGAAAACATATATTCAACTTCTATGCTAGCATTTATCTGGAATCAACTCTAAATTCATTCTAGTACATAATTTTTCTTCACTGCATCACACAGCTAGCAATTTCATCAAACAATTTGGATGCATTTATCATTTTATTCGCCTCAAATTTACCACATCACATAACTTCGTCAATACGTTTTTAAATGTGAAACCAACTGGGGATATTTCGTTCTAACAAGCCTATTTTTTTGGTTTTAATATTTCTATCTCTTTAATACTTCCTATCTCGTAAGCTTATAACATCCAACTTTCAGCTCATAATTGCTGTAAGAGTGAACAATTTCTGGCCGTACCAGGAGCTGTAACGGCCCTTGAGCTGCAATTGAGACGCCATCAGGGCAATAATCCGCTTGGATCGAGTCCTTGCTCAGGCTCTGTGGCTAGCCAAATTAGTCGAATTTCCAGCAGATGGGAGCGTATGGAGTCCGGCGAAATCCTTGACAATGGAAGTCCGAGGTATACGAGATAGGATATACCTAAAAATATTTGTTTCCCTTCATCCATCTATTCCACCTTTTATTGATCATTCGTTTGTCCAATAATCGCTCGTTATTGTTCAGTATTCATGTATTTAACGCTCTTAAATTTTCAAGTTATACTTCCTTTGAAAAGAATTTTATTTTAGGAAATCGAATTAAATTATTTGACGTTTGCATGCAAAAACTTCATGAAACTTGAATGGCGCAAATGCTGCGTCTGCGTTCGAAAAGATAAAATTATTGGATTGAGTGAAAAAGTTGTTGACAAGAAAAGCGAAATCGGTAAAATGAATTAAATATTTCAGAGATGAATCACCCAATAACATCAGTCGAGTGGGTTCATTGCTCAACGTTCCATCGAATAGATTGTATAGCCGAAACCCGACCTCTTGTATGTGTCGTTGAAATCAATTATAATTTTATTTGTCCGCTGAAATATTCATGCAATAATCGCATTATGATGTGTCTTAATGTCTTACTCTGCACAATTGCTTGTAAAGTCCCATGTTGGCCGCAATAATTATAACGGAAGAAGTTTAGAATGCGCTGTTGACTTTAGATCAGGAATTTGATATTATTCACATCCTGTGCTTGTGGTCAGCATCGTTATCAGAAAGCCTATGACTTAGTGCTGTACTGGGTCGTGATAAAGAAATGCTGCACTGTCAAAGGACGTCGTCAGCTTTGACAGTACTGATATCACTTTACATAATACTACAGTATTCACACCA